CAAGCTAGTGTGCCCTGATGTCTTCGTGCTACTTTCCTCATGTGTTCTGTACATGGACACTGAATGTCAGCTCTTTGCCTGTCACTACTGGACCCTAGAGATGTCATGCCTAATAAAGCTGAAGCCCTGCCCTAGAGCTGTTGTGTCAAATGGGACACAGATACCATACCAACACCAAATCAGTTGCCATTGAGTTAACCCTGACTAGTGGCAACCTCGTGTATGTCAGACCAGATCTGCACTCATGTCTTAGTTTTCTAAAGTAAATTGCCAAGCTTTTCCTACTAAACACCTCTGAGTAGATTTGAACCACTAACATAACTTTTGTTGGTAGTTGGTAGTTGAGCATTTAACCGTCTCTGCTACCAAGAGTCTCGACTGTCATTCAGGCTAAATGTAGTTATTAGAAATCAGCAATGACTAACTCAGTCTCAGCGAGCTGGGGAAGGCCTGACAGAGAATTTTATCTGTTTCAGATTGTCACAGAAGTTTGGAAATGTAGGTGGTGGGAAGCTGGGGGAATGAGTATTCAAATGGAAAGGATGTCTTGTGTAAAGGCACAAAAACATGAAGGGCCCAGTGATGCCCAGTAAGGGCAAAAGCCACTCAGTTGTCACTGCTGTGTTCACAGACCAGCTGGTCCCCTGCTTACTGGGGACAGTGGACCCTGGAATTGGAGGAGCCAGTGTCGGAACTACAGAGCCATGCTCCCTCCACCCCTTGGGGCCCCTGTGACTCCTCCCAGCCTCCCCACTGCTCCTTCCCAATTAGAGTGGATTTGACTCCTGTGACACTGATGTGTTTCTTTCTTGTTAGAATCTTAATATTGTATGAATCACAAGTCCCACTGCCCAGCCTGGCAGGCAGGGTCAGAGGTGTGAATTAAAACAACACGTGGCCCTGATGGCTTCAGTCAGGGCCGGCTGAAGCCAGCTGAAGAGGTGGTTTCCCTTTATCACTGGTAATGAGAGTATTACCAAGGGCATTGATCTCAAACTCTACCCTCAGAGCACTTTAAGCACCTTGCAGACATCACCCAATCATAATAGCCTTAAGAAGAACCCTTTCACCGAGCACTTTACACGTAGTATTTCATTTACTCATTAAAGGACTTTAAGATATAAGGTTTAATGACATATCCGGGACCCCACAGCCAGTGATGCTAAGAGGCAGAATCTGAGTCCCAGTCTGATTCTAAAATCCAAACACCACTTCAGAATGCTAGCTTGAACATAAAGAATCATTCTGGCTGGAGGGAATTGGCCAGGCTGATTCTCTGGACTGTGAGCCTCAAATCTTGCCAACCCTCCAGGGCAAATCTCAGACCCTACATGCCTTTATTTATGCCTGTCATGTTCCAGAGACAGTGCTTAAGTCTGGGAAAGACACAAAGACGCACAGCAATAAAATTACATTGATTAAAGGTAGGATTACACAGCCAAATAATGGAATTCCTGTCAACAGTTGTTGTACACTTGTAAAAAGTTGAATTAGCGAATGTTATGTGATAGATGTATTTACAATAACAACAGGGAGGGGAAAAAGAGTAGCTCTTGAGGCTGCTTAGATAGAGCCAAACCAAGGATTTTCTCCCTTGATTTGAAGTTTGGGAATCACAGTTTTATGAGACATCTCAGCTAATTGACCTACTAGCATGTTTAGGTTTCTGTTCTGAGATTGATGTGTAGTGCCTGGGGTCTTAAAAGCAGACACCCAAGGCATATCCAAGGTCTCTATTTACTGCAAGCAATAGAGAAAGACAGCATATGTGAAATAGGAGGAAGGTGTGGAACGTGGGGCTAACAGCCTCCATGAACAGCTGTCTCCTTTGCCAGGGGACCAGAAGAACTGGATGGGGCCAGCTACCTTTACCAAGCATTTGTTTCAGAGATTCCTATAGAAGGATCTTGATCAAAGAGGTGAGAGAATGCAGAACAGAATTTCAAATTATAATGGAATCCCGAGTTTCTGGAGCCACAGAAACTGGATGAACCCCTGAAACTGTTGCCAAAAGTTAAAATGTAAAGTTTCAATGAAAATAAAGTCCCCATGAAGTCTTCTAAAAGACCAAATGTTGATGTTGTTGTTGTTGTTGTTAGGTGTTGTTGCTCACAGTGACTCTATGAACAACAGATCTGAGCCTAGCCCTGTCCTGGGCCAGCCTCACCATCTCTGTTAGACTTGAGCCTGTTGTTACAGCCACTGTGTTGATCCATCTTGTCTTCCTCTTTCACTGACTTGTTCAAGCATGATATCCTTTTCCAAGGACTGGACCCTCCTAACAACAGTCTAACTTAACTAGTAAAGAATGTCAGCCTCGAACAATATACTAATTTAAGATTTGTCTATATGGGAGCAGCTTGATAGGAAGAACTCAAAAGACTAGATCGAAATCTTAGAAGGCAGTGAATTTATGATAATGTGGAGTGAGGAGGGGCTCAGAAAAGGAGGGTGAGCGTGACCCAAAAAATGTCATCAGTGTCACTGAAATGTACTTGAATAGGTGTATATTTTTACTGTGTATAGCATTATCAACAACCACAAAACTAAAGGAGGAAAGAGAAAAGAAAGGAGGGTAGGTGTGGACACCTGTGTGGTATAGGAAAACTATTTTGGTCTCAGTCTTTGTTCCCGTGAAGTAACCATGGGTGTAACTGAGGTGCCTTTATCTGAAATCTCCAGACCACAGCTACAGATTTGCACTAGCAAGAGGGTGGGGAGGTTAGACCAGAAAGACTCCCCCCACCTTTAAGCCAATGTCACCTAACCTGTTTCCCAACCACTGCCTGACTCTAAGCAACTCTACAAGATGAGAAAACCCTCCCCTAGAGTATCCAAAGCTGTATTACAGAAGCAGACTGTCACATCATTTTCCTATGGTGGATTCAAACTGCTGACCTTTCTGTTAGTAACTCGGTGCTTAATCCACAATGCCACCCATCATGCGGATGCCGTGATTCTTCAGTCATGATTGGCTAACCGAAGTCCTGAGCATGAAGCACCCTCTTTGAGACGGAGGGATCTCCCCCACCTTACCCTGGCTTCTCTTCCTTACAATGATCCTGATTTTTTTCTTTTGCTGTAATAAATCTATAGTCCTAAATATAGTACTTTCAAAGGTCTGTGGTTTATTCCAGTGAATTAGCAAAAGCAAAGTGGCAGGAGGAGCTGGGAGATGAATATGAGGGAAGCCAGAGGCATCTCCCAAGATTGTGAGTGCTACCTGTCCTGTGGTGGGGTAGGGGAAGACCTCAGATCTGTGGTCTGAAGTTTGGGGTGTCATATGACGTCATGGGAGTTCTGGTGGCATAGTGCTTAGGGAGGTGCCCCGCTAACCAAGGGCAGTACCCCTCTGACAGTTCAAATCTACCAGCAGCTTCGCGGGAGAAAGATGAGCAGTCTCCTCTCATGCGATTCACAGTCCCTGAAACCCTCTAGAGGGTCAGCTCAGAGTCCCACTCACCAGCAGGGAGTTTACGTGGACCTCATTACCACTGCAGCTGGCGTCTGCCCATTTGACAGATCCTCTTAAAGGTTGTGGGGTCTCCCTGTCTCTGGGTGTCTAGTGTCAGAGGTGCCACATGTGCTGCTCACATCAATGATGATGGAGAATTGAGGGGGATCTCATACTCCTTACAGTCTGCTTCTTACCCCAGGAACTCTCTTCCCACTGTCACCCAGACCTTGCCTGCCCTTTGATACGGCCCATTCAACCTCCACCACCTCCCAGGCCCATAGCAATACCACCTTCCTGAAACCTTTGAAGGGGCGTGTTAGGCAAGCCACAGTGTCTTTTATGCTATACTCCCTTTCACAGAGCTGTCTTTTGCCTCTTTAATCTGTGGACAACATTGAAGATAGAGAAATGAGCAGGGCGTGGTCCCTGCTGTCATGCAGGCCGAGGGGAGAGGCCGACATGCCGTCCCAGGTGTACTGAAGTGTACTGGAGCCAACTTAGATGGTTTCACCACTTAATCAACCATTCATCTCCACAGATACACTCACGCAGCCTTGGTCTGCCTCCCGTGACTCATGGAGGAGGAAGGGTCAGGAGAGGAAGAACTGAGTTCCAGTCAAGGATACCCATTTGTGTGATGTGGGCTTAGTCATGAAGCTTCTGCATCTATATAGTGTATAGACTTGGTATTCCCACCTGCCTTTTATCTTGGCAGTGGCAGCCTTTTTTAAATGACATTCAGTACGAGCAAGCATTTTATAGGTTTTAAAGTACTATCCAAGCAATAAGGAACTCTAGTGGTAAGAAACTGTGCTGCAATCCCAAAGACATATGTTCAAGTTCACCAAATGCTCCACAGAAGCGTCGGCAATCTCCTCCTGTGTGATTTATGTTCTCTGTAAACATGCTGGAAGGTTAGCTGTAGGTTGATTCTCACCCAATGGCAAACAACAACGCAACATAAAAACAGTAGATATGATTTCTTGATTTCTAGGAATGTCAAACATATATTTGGGTTGGTTGTTGTTGCCGTGTGCCATCAAGTCAGAGCCAGCCTCAACGAACCCTCCAGCAGGTTTTGAGAGGCAGTAAATTGCATGGGAGGAGATTACCTATCTTGTAGTAGTTTGTGGGTTTGAACCAGGTACCACTATGCCACCAGGGCTCCCTTACCTCTGGATATATAGTAAGAATTCAAGTGTCAGGCCATGTAAGGTGAGTTGATTGGTGCGCTGTTTGCCTCACTTCCTGTGGGCCTTTGAGAGCCCCTCGTGAGTGCTGTGAGCATATAAGAAGGATGTGAAGGTGTCTTGGAAGCCAGGAATATTGAACTGTACTTACTCTTGGGAACCACTGTGGTTCTCTGCCCCCATTGGGGAGGGTTAGTTAAATCGGGGGGCCCTGAATGTGGAATTGCAGACAAGCCCTACATCCACTCCGTTCAGGGCACAAACTTACCTCCATTTCGGCTTTCACACCACTCTAACTACCGTGTCCATAATGCTGTGTCCACTCCTCATTAGCCCTTCACTTCTCATTTCAGCATCCCTATCCTACAGAGGATGAGAAGAGGCAGATTGCAGCTCAGACAAATCTCACCCTCCTCCAAGTGAACAATTGGTAAGTTACCATCACCTGCCCACCGATGCACAGACCCAGAGGTCATTTGCTTGGCAGGGGGTGGTGGCTTAGCAGAAGAGACTGGCTTTCTCAGTCCTGCCTGAGTCCCTGCCCATCAGTCTTCTCACTGGGGCCAGAACCTGTAGCTTTATCTGCAGCTCTTCAGTGCCCTCTGCTGGCCATCTGCATCAGAGACCTCCCCGGAAGCTTCTCGCTGGACAATGCAGTCCCTTCTGCACTGGGAAAAGACAGGACTGCTCATGTCCATGGACCAGAGGGGCAGCCAGTGGTCACTCTGTACACCTCCTAGCGTGGCCTGGACACCAGTGGAAACACTGCAAAGCTGGAGTATGAGCAGAAGAGGTGGCTCTCTGAGGCCCCAGGAATCGTGGGTGTCCATTCTTTGGTCTGCCTAGGCAGAGACACAGAGCCAGGTCTGACTGGATGGACCCAGACCTAGGAGTGGGGACTCATCATCTGAGCCCCTGTTCCTCTGGAGAGAAGCCAGGTGTTGGCACATGTGCTGAGACTCCTCCATCTCTCTTCAATCCTGGAGGGTCTGAAACAGACTTCTCTGACCCCTCCCCACACATCCTTCCCTTGACACTTAGAGGTAACCATGCTGTAGATTATTTCGTGGGTGCCAGAGCTCTTCTTCCCACTGGGGTTCAGATCTGAACCCTGATTTGATTTGTACAAGATTCATAGGTTGGGTATGAAGGTCTGAAGACCACTTACATCTCTGCACCATCCTTTACCTTCCTGGAGCCCAACCTCCTGCCCCGCCGTCACCACCCGATCAGTGACTAACCAGGTCTCCACCTTCTACCCTGACAGGTTCATTAACGCCCGCCGGCGCATCCTGCAGCCCATGCTAGATGCTAGCAACCCAGACCCTGCCCCCAAAGCCAAGAAGATCAAGTCGCAGCACCGACCCACCCAAAGATTCTGGCCCAACTCCATCGCTGCGGGGGTGCTGCAGCAGCAGGGCGGAGCCCCCGGAGCAAACCCCGATGGTGAGGCCCAGGACCAAGGGGGCGCGGGTGTGGGAAGCTGCACAGAGATCCCGCTCAGCGGAGGCCCAGCCTGGCTCTGCCGTGATGGTCGTCCCCTCCTGCTCCCACCAGACCACATCTGTGTCTTAGAGAAAGGGTTGCTTCTTGCTTCTGTACATACTTGAACTCGCCACCAGGCGAGTGGGCGTCGGCGGTCATCTGAGTCAGTGATTGCTCAGCACACACCTCCTCTCTCCCACACTTGCGAGTTCTTCACCGCCTTTCTGTGTGTAAACAGCCCCTCGGAGCCCAGGCCATCTATAAATAGCAAGGCAGGCAGCAGGCATGTGAACAGAGGCCAGGAAGAGCTTTGTTTTCCACACGTCTACGTTGCATCTTCCAGATACACTCCTCTAATTGCTGGTCGCCCAGTGCACGATGAATAATTCAACGGGCCAGACATTGCCGAGTGGCATGTGAATGTAGCTCTGTGTGGGCGGCGGGAGCAGGTTTGCACGCGGGCCGGCAGGCCGCCATGCACGTTTCCGTGACTGTGCCCAGCTTCCTCTGTGACGGGTAAGGTGTGCAGAGCATGGCAGAGAGTGACAGATGTGGAGCGAGCCCTACTTGGAAGAGGATCCCAGCTCTGTTACTGCAGAGACTGGAACTTCCTTACAGGAGTCTTAGAAAGTGGTAAGAGGCTTGGTAGGTAGTAACCAGGGTTGCTACTGCTTGGGAGAGGCCAGAGAATGACAGAGAATGGGTGACTGGATAAGGTTGCCCTGAACAAGGAGCCCACTTCCCCACCCCCATGCCAGTCCATTCAGCTCAGGCCAACACCCAGGTTCTGGACCTGGCCCGGCTGTTGCCTTCCTCAACTCGGTTCTCTTTTCTTATGTAGGTTCCATCAGCTTGGACAACCTACAGTCCCTGTCCTCAGACAATGCCACCATGGCCATGCAGCAGGCTATGATGGCCGCACACGATGACTCACTGGATGGAACAGAAGAAGAGGATGAAGATGAGATGGAGGAGGAGGAAGAGGAGGAGCTCGAAGAGGAGGCAGATGAGTTGCAGACGACGAATGTGGGCGACCTGGGCTTGGAACACAGTGACTCCCTGGAGTAGACAGCAGCCCAGTGGCGCTGGCCACCGGGCAGGAGAGCAGCGGCTTCAGGAGGGCTTCAGGGCCAGGGGCGGGATGTGGGCGGGCAGCACCCAGGAAGCCAGCCTGAGCCTCCTCCAGTCAGCAGCTGGAATAAACACAGAGGAGACCCCCCGCCCCTTCCCAACCACCAGCCTCAACGAGCACGCCAGCCCCTCTCCCCAGGACTGCCCAGGACTCTGTGTGGCAGAGATGCTGGCAGGAGAAGATCTGGACTCACCCAGTCACTGGGGACAGAAGGCACTAGGAGCACCCTACTGGAGGACCTGGGGCATCCACACACCTGCACTGTGGGGGCCTGTTGGTGCTGTCTACACAGTGAGCCCTTGCTAGGGGCAGAGCTAGGAAGAAAGGGGGAAACAAACGGGACCTGGTGCACCTGAAGATGTTAGCTCCTTTAAGAAACATTCAAGGGTTGTATGGAGCCCAAAAGCATAAGCGCTGGCTGGAGAAGAGGGTGGCCTTGAGGCATCATGTCTGGCAGAGCAGAGAGGGCCTGGACTCCACAGACGCCAGCTGACTATCCAAGGCCTCTAGATCTGGACACAGTGTGCGTGGACCCTGGAGAGAGGGATAAAAACCAGCTGAGCCGCCTCCTCTCTCTCCCAGAAACAGATCACACGCCGTGGAGCGCAGCCCGTAGGAGGCTAAGAGAAATCACTTTACTGGAGTTGGTTCCAAGGTCCCAGAAGTAGGAGGACCTGGGTTGGGAGCCTTATCCAAGCGGCCACAGGCAGTCCTAGGACTCATCTCCTGTACCAACAGGACGATGGTCTTACCCCAGGTGCCACAGGCCTCTGATGGAGCTGACCCACCCTCCACTGACCTGCAGAGAGGGTGGGGCCAGGGTAGCTTGAAATATCCCCATCCCAAGGTCCCCCATGGCTGTCCCTCTGCTTCCAGGCCAGTGCCATTGGCCTGCGGCCTTCCTTCTTCATTCCACCCTTCAGAGAAGGCAGAAGAGACTTTGGAAAGATGTATCCAGCCCCATGGGAAGCCAGGGCTTGTAGAAGGTGCTACTGCCTCGTCTAATCATATCCCACATGTGAGGGAGGGCCCAGAGAAGAGGCACCCAGGCGTCTGTAGTCAGGCCACCAGCCCACCACCTCACTGTTCTGCACACCGCCGTTGTACACCCCTGGAAGGACCTGGGGCTCCCAAAGAGGAGGCTTTCCCATCTTCCCTCCCCAACTTCCAGACTCCCATGGTTGGCACTGTCTCCCTCACGCCCCGCCCCCGCCCCGCCCACCCTGTGGCTGTGAATGACAGGACTGGTCACATGTGTTTTTCATTGGGTATGATTTAATGGACTTGCTGTTTCCTTTGTAAATTGTGCTTTGGCCGCCTCCTTCCATGGTAGGATGTGAGGAGTTACCTGGCTCCACTTGAGGGGACCCTCCTCGCCCCCCACCAGCTTGGATGGCGCAAAAGGATGGTCGCTCTCCTGAGGTCTCCCCTAAATGAATGTATTTCTCCCCACAAAGAGCTGATATTTAATGTTTTAATAGGGATTTTTGAGAAACAAATAACCTTATTTATAATCTGGGTGATCCAATCATTTTTTACTCCCTTTTGATGACCTAGGTAGAGGAAAGTCTAGCTTTTTTGGTGTGAGACTTTTGCAATGTGCAGTGGGATAAAATACATCTCTGGTTCATTTTCCTTGTTTATACACACACACACACACACACACACACACTCCCTCTCACTTGCCCGCACAGGCTCACCTGTGTACAGGTACCACATCCCCTCCTCCAAGCCCCTCCACTTGCCTGATGTTATGCAACCTCCTTCTGCTGTATCCACCAAACCAGTACTGAATGTGGCCGAGAACTTTTCAGTAAATCTTATTATCTGCCATAAAGTCGGTGCTCCATTCTCTGTCTGTGGTTGCTGTAGGAATCAGAAGAAATATGGAGATCTCGGCGTCATCCTGGTTGAAGCGACTACGCAAAAGACAAGGTAGAGGGTTCTTGATGCTTCCAGCTTGCCTGTTTGAGGAGGCTGGCAGTCAAGTTTGGCACACTTCATTTGCATGTGTGTAGCGCGGCGCTGCGAGAGAGAGAGAAGCCGTGCTGAAGCTCTGTACTGCCCTCTCCTGGCGGTTTTCCCCTATAGCAGCAGATAGTTCCATTTGGTCCTCAGGTTCCTGTTACCTCGTGGGTAAGGAGTCGTGATGCCATCAAAGGTGAGCAGTTCAAATCTGCCAGCTGCTCCAGGGAAGAAAGAGGAGCCGTCTCCTGTGCGATTTGCTGCTTCTGAAAACCCACTGCAGGGTTAAGTCGGTTCCTACTCCATGGCAATGAATTGGGTTTGTTGTGGGGTTTTGAGCGCCAGGCTCCATCCCTCTGAGAGATCTTTGGTTTTCCTTCTCCGCCCTCGGCTCAGAGGGTCTTCTTCATCTCAAGTCACCACTGCCCCCTCACGTGTCTATCTTTACCCACTTCCCCCAGATGAAGGGGAAGAACTCTTGCCCCTCTATTTAGTCCTAGAACTGGTGTCCCAGGCAGAGCCTGTCCTTTAGACCCCAGAGTTCAGTACTATGAAAACAGGGCAACTGGTCACCTCCGAAATGGAAAAGAAGGCTCTGTTGTTCATCTCCAACACTTTCAAATGAGGAGCACTGTGCTGACACATCTTGGGCTTCTCCCTTTTGAATTAGGAGGAAGAGAGTTCCTTGGTTTTGTTCAAATAGTTTATTGTGAAGGATCTCATTCTTCACAATTTCTTCACAGATCAGTGACATTGGGTTACTTATTTTTTATACTAGTTTATTTACAAAATTCGAATACATTGTTTTTCACACCAGATCCTTTCCTGGGTTCTCTCTCTCTCATTTGGATTGTTTCTCTTTTTTAAATTTTTCTACTAGTTTATTTTATATAGGGTTTTCAGAGGCCTGTTATTTTGGAAGTGGATGGTCAATCCTTCCTAGTCTGTCTAAATCTGAATGTTCAGATTCATCATTCTGGGGAGGGTGGAGGGACAGCGCAGGAGGGGAAGACCCTCCATGAGGTGGATTGATTCAGTGACTGGGGTAATTGGGATGGGTGTGTCAGAGGCAGTGCGATTGGCACAGGACATAGCAGAGTTTAGGGCTGTTGTACATAGGGTCGCTATGAGTCGCAAGCGACTCGACGGCACATAACAGTTTATTTACAAAATTCAAATACAAATTTGAACAAGTTCTTTCCATTTCCCTCACCCCCACCCCACCCATCAAATTGTACAACCCAATGATTAATCTCCCCTTCCTCCTGTACATCACATCCCTCTGTTTCCAGCCTCTCCCACCCATCCTGGATCCTTATACTCATTCTACAATAACATACAATATTTATCCTTGTGGGACTAAGTTCACTCAGCATAATGCTCTCTGATCACATTTTTACAAATATTTCCAGTCTGATTATTCCTTTTCTATTCTAGCTTCTCTACTCCCTAACTTCTCACCTTTGTTTTCATGTAATTGACCATTTGGTATCATACAGATGAGTTTTTTTAAGGAAAGATAGTACATTTGGGTGACATTCTTGTTTTTTATGGCAATTTGTTATTTAGCTACAAGATAAGCTCAGGTTAGTTTCTGTTAAAAGTTTGAAGATCATCTTAGACTAATAATCTTGGGAAATCTCTGAGGAAAGATAGTACATTTGGGTGACATTCTTGTTTTTTATGGCAATTTGTTATTTAGCTACAAGATAAGCTCAGGTTAGTTTCTGTTAAAAGTTTGAAGATCATCTTAGAATAATAATCTTGGGAAATCTCTGGTCTATGTCTTTTCCCTGTGCAGTTAGGGTCCAGCTTGCCCATCTAGTTCTTCTGACTCAGGGCACATGAAGGAAGCCCTGGTTCATGTAGACCACCCACCCTGTAGATTGGGCTCCCCTTTGAGTCTTTGGCTTCCTTCTTCCTCTTTTGTACTAGGAAAGCAGAAACCAATTGTATCTTCGATGTCCACCTGCAAGTCTTTTATATCCCAGATCCTACCCACCAAACTAATAGGTAGAGAATAACTTCATGTACTATATGAAGCCAGCTAACCAAGATGTTCCATGAGATTAGAGAGTCTCTTGTTCCCAGAGGTGGGAGAGGCTGCACTGACCCTGGAAAGTCTGCAGCCAGGCTGCAGCTGGGGATAGGAGACCGCAGAGCTAAAATGAGATCCAAAGCCGCTCTATTGGAGGATGCTTGGGTTCCTTCTTCCACAGACCCCTATCTTGCCTGACACAACTAGAGAACTCCTGAAGAAGACTAGAGTCATCTGCCTCCAGGCATATCAAAGTCTCAGGATTCACCTTCTAACTCCACTTCCCAGAGGCAGGGAGACTGTTTTCCAAGGAAAACGTTTAAAAAGATGCTGCCTCCTTCCAAAAAAAGCCCGTGGCCAAATGTGTGTAGGACTAACTGCTTGTTGGTTGTTTAGTGATAAGGAGTTGCACTGCCAACCCAAACAAAGGTCACAGTTTGAGTCCATCGGCTGCTCCATGGGAGAAAGACGGGCAGTCTCTTCCCATGCAAATAACTGCCTCTAAAAACCCGCTGGAGGGTCAACTGTGAGTTGTTCCAACTCCATGGCACACAAAAACAACATCAATAACTGCATATTAAATTTTGCTAGGGGTGTTTCCTAAGATTCCAGTAAGCTGGTTGGTGCAGGGTGGCCTCCAACCTGGGAGCCCCGTGTGTCAGTGTGGAGGAGCTCTGCATCATAGATTTTCCAATAGCTGATTTTCAGTGGATCGATATACCTTTCTCCCAAGGCACTCCTGGGTGGACTTGAATTCCAGCTTTCTGTTGGCAGCTGAGCACACCAGCCCTTTGTGCCACCCATGGACTCCTCATGATGCACAACGTTGTGGCTGTGTCCCATGATGCACAACGTTGTGGCTGTGTCCCATCAAGCCAGAACCAACCCACAGCAACTTTCCAGAAGCAGCAAATCACACAGAAAGAGCCTACCCATTCTTCTCCTATAGAGCAGCTGGTGAATGAGAACTGAGCATCTCTGCGATTAATGTGCAATAACGTACACTGTTGTTGTTGTTGTTGTTGTTGTTGTTGTTGTCGTCATGTACCGTCAAGTTGGAACCAACTCATAGCTGACCCTCCAGCAGATTTTCAGAGGCAGTGAATCGCGCAGGAGGAGATTGCCCATCCTTCTCCCACGGAGCAGCTGGGGCCTTCGGGATTGCAGTGCAGCTTCTTGCCATGAGACCACAAGAACTCCCTAATAATGCGCAT